ACCTCCACAAATCTAAGAAATAAATTACTGTTGTTTATAAACCACTCAGTTTATGGTATTTTTGTTAAGAGTCGCCCGAACTGACTGAGACAACAGGTAAATCTTAAGGCACAGCTCCAATGAAGTCTTTCTGTGCTCATAATCTCCAGCTGCTGGCCGGGTGCGGTGGCTCACACCTGTAATCCTAACACTTTGGGAGGCTGAGGTGGGTGGACCACTTGACGTCCGAAGTTTGTGACCAGTCTGGCCAACATGGTGAAACCCCCATTTCTACTAAAAATACAAAAATTTGCCAGGTGCGGTGGTGGATGCCTATAATCACAGCTACTTGGGAGGCTGAGGCAGGAGAATCACTTGAACCCAGGAAGTGGAGGTTGCAATGAGCTGAGACTGTGCCATTGTACTCCAGTCTAGGCAACAAGAATGAAATCCGAGAAAGAAAAAGAAAAAGAAAAAAAGAGAAGAGAAGAGAAAAGAAAAGAGAAAATAAAAGAAAGGAAAGAAAGGAAGAAGGAAAGGAGGGGAGGGGAGGGGAGGGGACGGAACGGAAGGGAAGGAAAGGAAGAAAGGAAGAAAAAGAAAGAAGAAAGAAAAGAAAAGAAAAGAAAAGAGAGAGAGAGGAAGGGAGGGAGGGAGGGAGAGAGGAAGGGAGGGCCTCTGTCTGCTGAACTCCCAATTCATCACAAAGCTTGGATTAGTCACCACTTTCTTCTTTATTATAGTCACTCTGTATATAGTTCTCTAATCCCCTGCCAGACTCTAAGGCTTCATGAAGACAGGACCCATGCCTGATAAGCCATCTCAAATAGCATCTAGCATAGTGCTTTTCACAGCATAGAAGTTTAATACTTATTCAAGGAAATGCAGAATGAATGGATACACTACTTCCAAGAGGCTCTCTTCTATGTGCATATACCAGGTATGCCCCTTTTCTGTACTTCCATCAAATAAAACCTCATTCAACCGTTGGTTGAAATGGTACACCGCCATTCTAAGAAGCTGAAAACTAAAGATAAAGCAGGATTGACATTACCTCTTGCGAAAGAAAGGGTTTTAAGAAATAAAACATGACTATGCATTTTCTTCAATCATATTCTTTTTTTTTTTTTTTTGAGACAAAGTCTCACTCTGTCTCCCAGGTTGCAGCGCAATGATGTGATCATGGCTTACTGCAGCTTCCACCTCCCTGGCTCAAGCAATCCTCTCACCCCAGCATCCTGAGTAGTTGGGACTACAGGCACGCACCACCATGCCTTGCTAATTTTTTTTTTTTTTTTTTTTTGTAGATAGGTGGTCTCGCTACATTGTCCAGGCTGGTATCAAATTCTTGGACTGAAGTGATCCTCCCGCCTTGGCCTCCCAAAGTGCTAGGATTATAATTGTGAGCCACCACACTCAGCCCCATTATGCTTTATACCTCCTTAATCCTCTATATCTGTTTGACTGTCTAAAATGGTAATAAGGTGTCAAAATATTTATTTAAGCATATAACTAAAGACCCCTTCCTCCCAGAAGTTAGTTTCGCATTGAATTATTCTGTTTCATATGTGTTAGTTTTATTTGCTAGTTAGACTGCAAGGAAAAAAGTTTCATCATTGACTGTCACAAAGATATCGTTTAAAAAAAAAGTTGCATCATATTTTGAGATTGATCTTCACAGAGCAGTGACTCATGAGACTAAAAACTTTCTCACCCTTCCTCAAAGCTTGCTCAAGTAGCTAGAGATATATTAATGTAAACCTAAATAAATTACGGTTGTCCCGAAATCAAAGAAATAAAGCTGTGAATCCTGTTATAACAATCATCTCTAATTTATCTGGATTTTTTCCCCCTTAAGGTAGATATTTTGTGAGTAAATCAGTTGCCCCCTAAACAGTATGTTGATTTAGCAATAGGAAGCTTACTTATTAAGAACTTACTCTATCTGACACACAGCTTATTAGAACCATTTGACAGGAAAATGGGCTTTGCATTTTGTTTGACGGCTTTATTAAGTCATCAGTTTTTGCAAGAGTAGAAAACGCTGTGTTTCGAAAATATTTTAAAATACTAATAATGTTTTTTCCTAAAAGATGTTTCCAGGTAGATACTAACATCATTATTTATTTATTATTTTTTAAAGAGACAAGGTCTCACTATGCTGCTCAGGCTGGTCTCAAACTCCCGGTCTCAATCAATCCTCATGCCTTGGCCCCTTGAATCACTGAAATTACAGGTGTGAGCCACAGTGCCCAGCTTGCAAGCTTTAACAAACAGGCTCTTTACTTATTAAAAAAAATTCATCTTATATCACCGAACCCACACTTTCCAGAAGGCTAAACCATGCATCACACATAAATGCAATTACTTAGAAATTAATAAGCAAATTCAAAATGTTCTTCGTTTGTTTTCCTTTGATTTAACTTCCAAACAGACAGCTAAGAATCAAGAGTTGATGGAGCTACACAACCAAAGCAAAAGTGAGGCAGGAAAGAGTATTTCAAGCATTTAGAAATAAGCTGATATTTCACAAGTCTATGGGAAATTTCCAAAGCACGTCCCAGGAGCTGTTTTCAGTGGAGTGTTAGTATGGTGAATACTGGCATGCTATTACTGACAGCACTCAGAAGTGTCTTAGAAACCTAAACAAGAATGTCCAAAGGAAATATAGATAACAGAAGACCACATTTTAAAGTAAAACTTAAGTGATGATGCTGATATTAAACTCTGAAAATGAGGGTTTGCCCATCATGCATCTGTACACACCTGGATTAGCACTCAAACTCAGTTAGTTTTAGTTGGCTCCATAGTTTCCTTTGGGTTCAATGATCTGGATAAAACTTACACTTTGATATGGCAGACTTAATTAACCCCACTGAAATTTAAGGGACTCCATGGGGATTACAAAACACACCATTCTATACTAATTGTCCTATTCATCTTTGTTAGGCAGCCTCCTCATCAACCAAGAGAAAGATCACTCTGCTGCAGCTTCCACCAACATCATGGCTGTCTTCAGGCAAGACTATGCGCCCACAGACATGAACTGTACCTCCTACCCAGACACCTAACATAAATGAAAACATACCCTGTTTCTTAATTTCAGATGAAACCGAAACATCTGGTCCTGTACTTGCAGGCCATAGATCTTATAATTTTGGTCCCCCATGGAGACTGAAGATGCCGAATCAGAGAGCTCAGGTCTCAGGAGTGAGCACACACGCAAACTTCAGGCCACTCCAGCAAGACCAATCGCTGCATTTGAAATTTAGCTCAGCCCACAGCCAAGCATAAGAAGGCTTCCTTTCACCAAGAAAGGTGGCCAATTCCGCCTTGAGCAAAGGGAGAACAGTTAACAATGGGAACTATTTATAACCTTTCTTTGCCTAATAAAAATCCCAATTTTTCCCCCACACCCACACCAGGAAGAGTCCTAATCCCCATACAGAACCCTCAACGATACTCCCAGCCAGGGAGGAAGAGGTTACATAATGGAGTCTAGGCCAGCCAAAATGCCAGAGGCATAAGTGACCAGGGCTACAAACGCTTTGGTGGGTGGGGATGAAGGGAAAGGGTAGGTAGGAGGCTTAATCTGAGTCGAGCAGACAGCTTGGACATTTGACGACTGATATTCACCACGGAGAGATAGATTTTTACTTTCCTTTCAAGACAAAAAGGAGGAACAGAACAGACAGCCCACCCACGTGAATGTACAACCAAGAGAGATCTCATGTACCAGCAGTTGGCTGTCCAACCAGACACCACTGTGGACTCTTCACCTTCAGTAGCAACACTCGGTGTGCACAAATCCTCAGCTCAAATCCTCTTCCCTCAACCACACAATGAGTGCCTGGACAGAAAGGAAGAGGGTGGGATTTCTCATGCCGGGACACCTGCAATAGCACCTCTTGCCTGCCCAGAGGGCCCAGTACCCCACCCCTTCTCTTCCCCGTGTCCCAAACTCCCCTTCCCTTCCCAATATTCAGCTTCTGCCGATCCTTTCTCATTTTTAGCTGTATTTTTACCACCACTCCACTATATTGTGTTCCCATGTCCTTCTTATTACCCACTCCCTGCCATACAGCAACAGCAACACAAAAGGCACACACAGGGATTAGAACATAAAGGGGTTATATCTCCCACCATCCACAATTAGGCAGAGGAGGGTGCCAGGTATGCCAAAGTAAAAATATGGCTGAGTTCTCTCTCCCAAGTTCTCTTTCAGCATTGCTACATAAACTTGTGTCCACACTTAGGATAAAGCAAGCCCCATTACCTACAACATTCCCAGACCCAAGTTTCTGCAAGAAAACTGGGTGGAAATTCAAAACACACAAATTAAATGCACGAGAGATGAGCTGAGGACTCCCCAGGAAGGAACAAACAGATAAATTATTGAATTGATGTTTTAAAATAAACAACTATGAATAATTAAATGCTACAAATTTGTAATGTCACACATATTTCCAGGTATAATATATACATATAAAATGTCTTTAAAATGCTTCCATCAATTTGGATTTTTTTTTTTTTTTTCTCCTACTTCAACAACCCTTAAAAAAAATTTTTTTTGTAAAAAAAAAAAAAAAAGCTTTCAAAAGACATGAAATTTTTTTTTTTAAAGCTAGCAATTATATGCTTCTTCCAGTTAAAGTTTCAGCTTTTCAGCCAAAGCCTGTTGTTGACTTTTCTCAAGCAGTAGAATATTAACAAAACAAAATCTTGGAAGCAATCTACTGGCTTCCTATTCTCCAAGACCGGGTAGGTCAAATTTCAGAGGAAACAGGACTCAACCCTTAACAATGCATACGTACCCACTTAACTACTTCTACGCTGGGCATATAATTCCAAGAATTTGCATCAGCTAAACAGATCTCTATAACTGTCGAAGGGGAAAAAACCTCCCAAATACATTCTCAGCAAAGCAGTACTGTGAAGGGCACTCAAGTTGCATTGAGAAATGAAGTGTCGTGGTATAAAATCTTTGGTGAGGGGAAGGAAATCACTGAAAACATTCTTACCATGCTCATCAGGCTCTGTTGGCTTGGATACTTCTCTGAACGGCATTATAACTGCATCTCCGGGCACTCTGGGACTTTCCACATACTTGGGCTTCCTGACGGGACCTGCAGCGGGAAAGATCTGAGTGTGGCTAATTTTTTCCAGATGCAAACAAAGGCTTGGAATGTACAGTGTGTGTCCTTACCAGGACCCAAATATGCCTAGAGGAAGAGCCAGTCCCTTCCCCTCCCTTACACACACACACACACACACACACACACACACACACACACACACACACAGTCATTTCAGTACAGACAAGGCAACGTCCAGTCTGGGCTGCCAAAGAAGAAAAGGGTAAGCTCGGATTTGAGAATGTAAACCCTAACAAAAACAAAAGCTGCTCTCTTGCTGTGAAGTCGCTACAGCTGTCTTTGCTGGTCAAATGGGTGATTCTGACATGTTCAAAGCTGGGTGGCTTATGATGAAGGATTTCATAATTTTCCTCTAACTGGGACAAGGATGGGACAAAGACAATTTGGTTGCTTGGTATCTCTAAAGTCAGGAGGCAAGGATTACAAACAGCTGGCCTGTAACAGCAACACCCTCTGCGCACCAGCCGCAAGAATGCAGGCATTCTTATCTGGCTGGTGACGCACAGTAACTGTGTGGGGCACAGCAGCCAGCCAGCCAGCCAGCAAGGGGGTCAGAGACACGAGAGACCCACAGGCTTATCTCCCACCTCCTGTCCCTGCAGCCCCGACTTATCATCAGAAAATCCGGAATTCTTAGTAAGACTGGATGGTATCCTCATATACAATGATGCAGCCGTTCTGGAAAACAGTTTGGCAGTTGTTCAAAAGGTTAAGTAAAGAGTTACTACATGGCCATGCAGTTCTACTCCTATGGGAATGTATGTGCACACAAAAAAACTTGTACACAAATGCTCATAGTAACGCCATTTATACTAGCAAAAGGTACATCAAATGGTGACAACAAATTGTGCTTTGCCCATACAATGGAGTATTATTGGGCTGTAGAAAGGATTGAAGTACTGATTCATGCTACAACATGGATGAAGCTTGAAAACATTCTGCTAAGTGAAAGAAGCCAGTCACGGGATCTACATGATTCCATTCATATGTCATGCCCAGAAGAGGCAAATCTTTCAGAAAATAGGAATGGTTGCCAGGGCTGGGGATTATGCAGGCTGTGCAGGCCTGGAGGGTAATGGTAAGGGATATGTGGCTTCTTTCTAGAGTGAACAGATGTTCTAAAATTAGGTTGTAGGGAAGGTTGTACAACTCTATGAATATATTTAAAACTACTCTATTGTATGCTTTAAATGGGTGAACTATATGGATGTGGATTATACCTAAAAAAAACTGCTTAAAAAAAAAAAACTAAAGGAGGCAGATCCAAGATGGCTGAATAGAACAGCTCTGGAGTGCAGTTCCCAGGGAGAACAAAGCAGAGGGTGAGTGATCACGGCATTTCCAAGCAAGTTATTACTGCCCACAGACCAGGAGATTCCCAGGCTGAAAAGCGCCACAAGTTTCCAGCATGGTGCAGTGGGTCTCCACACAAAAGCTCACACAAATCTGTGTGACTGTTTCAATTGGCGCCTCGGAGACAGAGTCGCCCATTCAACTGAAAAAAAGGGGGCTGAAACAGGGAGTCAGGTGATCTGGCTCGGCAGGTCCCACTCAGATAAAGACCAGCCACTTGAAACGCTCTGGACTGAGAGTTTCACAGCAAGCGCAGCTGGACCCAGTACAGTCCAGCTCTGTGGCTGGAAGGGCATCCGTCATTACCAAGGGAGTCTGCCACTACCGAGGCAAGCCGCCATTACCGAGGCAGTTCTAACTAAACCTCTTTAAACAAAACCTCAAGGAAGTTCACACAGCAGCTGGGCAGAGCACACAGCAGTGCAGCAATGCCTCTGCTGGCAGACTGTGACTAGGCTACCTCCTCGCTGGGCAGGGCATCTCTGAAAAAAGGCAGCAGAATGACAGGAACTTACAAATAAAGCCCCACCTTCCCAGGACAGAGCACCTGGGAAAAAAGGTGGTTATGAGTTCCACTGCAGCAGACTTAAATGTACCTGCCCAGCAGCTCTGAACGGAACAATGAGGCTCACAGCTCAGCACTTGAACTCCTATAAGGGACAGTCTCAAGCAGCTCCCCAAACCCCGTATATCCAAAGAGACACCTCATAAAGGAGCGCTCAGGCTAACATCTGACGAGCATCCTTCTGGGATGAAGATAACAGAAGAAGAAACTGGCAGCAATCCTTATTGTTCTGCAGCCACTGCAGGTGATCCCCAGGCAAGCAGGGCTTGGAGTGAACCTCCAGCAGTCCTACAGCAGAGGGGCCTGACTGTTAGAAGGAAAACAAAAAAACAGAAATAACTTCATCAACAAAAAAGGACATCCAATCAGAGACCCCATCTGAAAGTCACCAGCTACAAAGACCCCAGAAACCAGTGCAAAAAAGGATGAAAACACCCAAAACCATAATGCCTCTCCTCCCCTAAGGTATCACAACTCCTCACCAGCAAAGGAACAAAGCTGGATGGAGAATGAATGTGATGAATTGACAGAAACAGGCTTCAGAAGGTGGGTAATAACAAACTTCTCAGAGCTAAAAGAAAATGTTCTAACCCAATGCAAAGAAACTAAGAACCTTGAAAAAAGGTTTAACAAAATGCTAATGAGAATAAACAGCTTAGAGAAGAATATAAATGACTTGATGGAGCTGAAAAACATAACACAAGAACTTCGAGAAGCATACACAAGTTTCAATAGCCAAATCGACCAGGCAGAAGAAAGGATATCAGAGATTGAAGATCAACTCAATGTAATAAAACAAGAAGGTACGATTACAGAAAAAAGAGTGAAAAGAAATAAAGCCTCCCAGAAATATGGGATTATGTGAAAAGACCTAATCTACATTTGATAGGTGTACCTGAAAGTGATGGAGAGAATGAATCCAAGCTGGAAAACACTCTTCAGGATATTATCCAGGAGAACTTCCACAACCTAGCGAGGTAGGCCAATATTCAAGTCCAGGAAATACAGAGAACATCACAAAGATATTCCTCAAGAAGAACAACCCCAAGGCACATAATGGTCAGATTCACCAGGGTTAAAATGAAGGAAAAAATGCTAAGGGCAGCCAGAGAGAAAGGTCAGGTTACCCACAAAGGGAAGCCCATCAGACTCACAGTGGATCTCTCAGCAGAAACCCTACAAGCCAGAAGAGAGTGGGGGCCAATAGTCGACATCCTTAAAGAAAAGAATTTTCAACCTAGAATTTCATATCCAGCCAAACTAAGCTTCATAAGCGAAGGAGAAAGAAAATCCTTTACAAACAATTGCTGAGAGATTTCATCACCACCAGGCCTGCCTTATAAGAGCTCCTGAGAGAAGCACTAAACACAGAAAGGAACAACTAGTACCAGCCACTCCAAAAGTGTACCAAATGGTAAACAGCATTAATACAATGAAGAAACTGCATCAACTAACAGGCAAAACAACCAGCTAGCATCAAAATGGCAGGATCAAATTCACACATAACAATATTAACCTTAAATATAAATGGGCTAAATGCCCCAATCAAATGACACAGACTGGCAAATCGGATAAAAAGTCAAGACCCATCAGTGTGCTGTATTCAGGAAACCCATGTCACATGCAAGGACACATATAGACTCAAAATAAAGTGATGGAGGAAGATTTGCCAAGAAAATGGAAAGCAAAAAAAAAGCAGGAGTTGCAATCCTAGTCTCTGATAAAATATATTTTAAACCAACAAACATCAAAAGAGACAAAGGGCATAACATAATGGTAAAAGGATCAATGCAACAAGGAGAGCTAACAATCCTAAATGTATACACACCCAATACAGGAGCACCCAGATACATCAAGCAAGTTCTTAGTGACCTACAAAGAGACTCAGACTCCCACACAATAAATAGTGGGAGACTTTAACACTCCACTGTCAATATTAGACAGATCAATGAAACAGAGAATTAACAAGGATATCCAGGACTTGAACTCAGATCTGGACCAAGCAAACCTAAGAGACATCTACAGAACTTTCCACCCCAAATCCACAGAATATACATTCTTCTCAGCACCACATCACACCTACTCTAAAACTGACCACATAATTGGAAGTAAATCACTCCTCAGCAAATGCAAAGAATGGAAATCATAACAGTCTCTCAGACCACAGTGCAATCAAATTAGAACTCAAGATCAGGAAACTAACTCAGAAACGCACAACTTCATGGAAACTGAACAACTGGCTTTTGAATGTTGACTGGATAAACAAGGAAATGAAGTCAGAAGTAAAGATGTTCTTCCAAACCAAGGAGAATGAAGACACAACATACCAGAATCCCTGGGACACATTTAAAGCAGTGTCTAGAGGAAAATTTATAGCAATAAATGCCCACATGAGAAGCAAGGAAAGATCTAAAACTGACATCCTATCATCAAAATTGAAAGAGCTAGAGGAGCAAGACTCAAGAAACTCAAAAGCTAGCAGAAGACAGAAAATAACTAAGATTGGAGCAGAACTGAAGGAGACAGAGACACAAAAAACCCTTTAAAAAAAAAAAATCAATAGGGCCGGGCGCGGTGGCTCAAGCCTGTAATCCCAGCACTTTGGGAGGCCGAGGTGGGTGGATCACGAGGTCAAGAGATCGAGACCATCCTGGTCAACATGGTGAA